AGTGAGTGATTCCAGGTGGCACCACATGGAGCAGCTGAATCTTTGCAAAATTTCTGACCCACAGTGTGTGTAATAAATCATTTTCAGCTACTAAGTTTTGGGCTGGTTTCTTACGCAGCAGTAGATAATTGATACACCAGCCACACTGATTTTCAATATAGAGACTGCCATCAACATACAAGAATGTAGGTAATATTATTTCTGTGAAATTTTCCTAAGGAATCTAATAGACAATATACTTCAGACAACCAAAATAACTAGAGATACATAAAGACTAGTGATGAGCATTAGAAGTAGGATTAAATGAGGGTTATAAAGGAGAGTTTCGTATGTAACTGTATGTTTTGACTAAGAGAATTTAACTGTAAAAAAAATATGTGGGGAGAGCATATGCGAAAAACTTTTAAACTATTTTCAGCAATCATATTTTTTATTGTAGCATTGGTTTTATTAATCAGATATTGTTTTCTGTAGGGCCAGCCCGGTGGCGCACTGCTACAGTGCGCCGCTTGGGAGCGCAGCAGCGCTCCCTCCGAGGGTTCGGATCCCACATACAGACCGGTTCCCACTCACTGGCTGAGCGAGGTGCGGGCGCAGCACCGAGGGTTGCGATACCGTTGCCGGTCCTGGTCTGGTACGGGCGCGACACTGAGGGTTGCGATCCATTGCCAGACACGAAAAAAGACAAAAAGGAAAAAAAAATAAAAAAAAAGACTGTGAGATTCATTTTCAGTGATTTTTTTCTTTTATATAAACTATTCATTAAAATCTGTGATTTTTTTGATTGAGTGCCAATAATAATTGTAACAATAACTCAATCCAAGGGAAGTTTTTTGTTTGTTTTGTTTGTTCTTCTGTGTTTTTGTTTGTGTGTTTGTTTTATACAGAACCATATGGTTACTGGGTAAAATTTAGATTTACACATTTATTTTTTCAGAGGCTATGATAGAGTGACCAATAAAATACTTTGAATCTGTAAATATAATAAATGTGGATGTTTTCTGTATATTGTACAGCAAAGCAAATTATACATTGATTCTCTTATTGCCTATGTTTTTGAGATCTAGGAGTATCAGTGTGGAAGAAATTATATACAGATATAAGATAGAAGGTTAAATAAACACCCTGTGCTTCTGACTTTTAATTGGAAGTATCAGTATGATGAACTTGTGAGCTATTTTAATTCTGTTTTAAAATAGTATATACCTTATATATATCTATATCTACGTATGTATGTATATGTATAATGTTAATCTGAGAGTATTTTGTGTGTATTGTAGAATAAAGCAAATGAATATTTATATGATATTTTAATTCTGGCATTTCCTGGCTATGTCTGTGGAAAAGTCCCAGAAATAAGCAAGTCTAGTTTCCAGAGTGTGGTCTTGAAATGCTGTTTGTTTGTTTCCTACTAAAGGAAAGTGGGACTTCTTTGAGAAATCTTTGATTCCAGTTTTGGGGTATGAAATGTATAAGATTATCCTGGAACATTTTTATATCAGATACTAATGGAGCTTTTAACTGTTAGGTTCATGACAAAGGAACTCAGGAATTAACTTGAAGAGGCTGGAGGGTGACCAACTGTCTGTTTTAGCACTGAAAATTCTGAATCCTGGGAAACCTCTCAGTATCAAGTAAAGTAGTATAGTTGATCACTCTCAGAGGTTCCCACTGCCAAAATAAGATGATTTGAGCATCAGTAAGGATAAGAGCTACAATGGATTGTCATCCCTCATTATATTTAAATCTATAAGTTCATGATAATAGCAACACTACCCCCCCCCCCCCCAAATTGTTCATCATAGGTGGATATTAGGAAACCATTACTTCATTTTGAGAACTGATAAACCAAGGGATTATTCTTACTTTCCTGTATGAACAGTACCCTGGTAAACTAATAATAGATGAGGTAAAGTTCTTTTTATTGAGAAATTTTATGTGCTAGCACATAAATAAGGACAAAATGATAGAATTGGGGTATCATCATTTTGTAATCGTTTATGTTTTAATGGATTTTGACATTGAGTACCAGTGGCTGCTAACATTATAAAAGGAGAGAAAATCATACATGTGTTATAAATATGCCATCACCTAATGATTAATCTTGCCAAAAATATTAAACCTGAGTCTGATGAAGCTGCCTACATTCAATTACTAATTTATAGGAAGTATAGAAGATAGCGGAACTTACTAAACTGCACTATGGGAATACAGTCAACAAAACTTAGTCTGTGGGAAACTTTATAGGACAGATGATCCAATAGACTCAACAAATTGTGAAGAGAAAAAGAGATGGTGAGGGAACCAATAGATTAAAAAGAGCAAAATTAAACTATAGCACTATACCTAAGTGTATGTAAAACCCTAAATAAAGTACAGAAGTGATTACTATGAAAGTCCGGATAGTGGTTTCTCTTAGTTGGGGTGGGAGAGTGAAAGGGGATGGAGGGTGTTTTGATTGGGAGGGAATACATGGAGGGCTTCTGCAGCGCTGACAGTTCTGTCTCCTGATCTGTGTAGTGGTTCCAAGTTAATTTAATTGTATATTTCTGAATGTGGTTTTCTATGTTTATATTATATTTAATAATAAAAATTTTTTTTAAAAAAGGCAAGGAAATTGTCATAGAGGCAACTATATTGGGAAATGGTGAGAGTTAACGCCTTATAGATTAGCTAAGACTTGTTGACTGAAGATTTTATTAAATGCTATTCTCAGAAAATTTAACACAATCTGTAAGTACAGAGCAACTAAAGTTTATTGAAAAGAGGGTCGTAGTGCTGCAAACTATGTTTTTAAGAAGATAAATCTGGCAGGGTAGATTTCAGTGAGAGACTGGAAAGCTAGCCAGGAGAACACTGTGTTAAGGTAAAGGTGATAAAAATTACGATTTGATAAAGATTTGGATTAGGGTGATTCTTGTAGGAATGTAAAATAACAGCTATGTGTTATGCAGTAGGACAGTCAATAAGACTTGGTGACAGATTAAGTATGATTGAAAAATAAAAACATTAGATATAAACTCAAAGCTTACATATTTGAGGGCATACACTTTATTGGGTAGGACTAGGGAATTCCATAAGGACAATTCTATGTGATCATGCTAGAGTAAAATATGGTATTTCTCCTTATGATGTATTTAGAATCTCTGAGGATTGGATGCTAGGGATTCTACATACCAAATTTTTTTTTATCTGAAAATGGCAATTCTGACAAGCAAACTGATAACAATGGTTGTTTCTGTAAAGTGAGTAGTTGGGGACATAGAGATATGAGAATAACTTTTCAATGTTACTTTTTATCTTTTGAATTTTGAATCATGTGCTTGTATTATCTATTCAGAAAATAAATAACATTTAATTAAAAGATAAAGATGCCCAAATCTTTAATTTCCAGGGGGAAATACTTATTGGGCATTCTTTTATTATTTTAAGTACTCCAGATTATAGTTACTCTGAAAAGGAGTTAGGTAAACATGTTTAATACTTGGTTGCCTTTGGCTTACATGTTTGTAACCATTGTATGTTTGATTTTATGCTTGTGTATGTTGTGTGCATGCATGTTGTGGCTGTGTGTGACTCTGGCGTGTATATGTTTCATCTGTAAAAGAATTTTTATAGTTGGAGGCTCAGGGACCCTGTCTTCTCAGAGCTTTTAATTCTTATTGCCATCATTTAGGATTTTTCTCCTTAGACAGGGGAGGTGATCTTGCTTCTCAACTAGCCTCAGTGTCATTCAAAGATGGTGGTGATGCGTCAGTATTGACTGTCTCTTTCCTTTGTTATTATTACTGAGGCTGAAGATACTACATGTTGATTATTCTGTCTGTCCTCTCCACTTAACTCTCCCCCAGGCAACTGCTCTGGATCTAGCTTCTGTAATGAAGTGTTCCAAAGTACATGAATCTATTTCTTATCTCAGCCTTTGGACCTAGTATTAGATCTGGGAAAGATAAGGGAATAGGAGGTAACATGAAAGTATGTGAGTATGTGAGATAGGGGTTTTTTTGGTTCATTTAAAAAAAATTTTAGTAACTTTCCCTTTTGTAATTTATTAGTGATAAAAACCATTAGGAAAACTCAAGTGGGGAATGCTAATTCTTTAGACTATTGAAATTGAGAGAAGTGTTAAGACTATTTCTCTAGGGACCTAGAAAAAAGAAACCAGGATTGGAATGACAGGCAGTAGTAGGAAAGCTAAGCAGCCTGGCATATTTGTTGTCAACCTTGGCTGCATATTAGCGTCAGCTGGGGTTATTTAAAAAAAAATATGGATTCTTGGTTCCTACACCTAGAGATTCTGATTTAATAGTCAGGGCTATGGTATAGTTATTGGAACGTTTTGAATCTACCTGCTTGAGTTTTTTTTTTTTTCCCCTTTTTTGTCTTTTTTACTGACCGGTAAGGGGATCGCAACCCTCGGTGTCGCGCCCGTACTGGGGACTGGCAACGGGATCGCAACCCTCGGTGTCGCGCCCGTACTGGGGACTGGCAACGGGATCGCAACCCTCGGTGTTGCGCCGCACCGCGCTCAGCCAGTGAGCAGGAACCGGTCTCCACATGGGATCCGAACCCTCGGCGGGAGCGCCGCCGCACTCCCAAGCAGCGCACTCTCCAGTGCGCCACCGGGCCGGCCCTACCCGCTTGAGTTTAATATGGGTAGGTTCAGTTGAGTAAAGACTGAGAACCACTTGAGTCAAGACTGAGAAAACTGGTCCAAGACTAAGAAGAATCCTTGGGTTTCACAGGGCCTCAATCCCAAATTCTTTCCATTGGGGATAGATTGGAGTTTATTGTAAAAGGTAAATATACTTCCGTGCGTTCTCTAGGAGATTTGATGCTTTTTAAAACTTATGATTATTTAGGTTTCTGATTGGTGGGAAACAAAAAAGGCACAAATGAGTCTTCAGCATCTGGAAAGAATGGACAGATTCACATATTAGCAGTAATAGTAATAAAATTTTATGGGTCAGCTATACTTAAACACTGTGATATTTGTGCAGGTTGCCTGTGATTTGCTTCGGAGAATTATTCGCATCTTGTATCTCAGTAAGAGACTCCAAGGACAACTGCAAGGGGGAAGTAGAGAGATAACAAAAGCTGCTCAGAGTCTCAGTGAACTTGGTAAGTCCTTTATGATTGGAAACTTAGCAGAGGTTTAAAGATTTTAAGTCACTCGATTTGTTGACTTTTGTTATTACCACTACCAAATACTCTTGAGCAAATTCTTAAAATAATTGACTATACAGCATTGTCATACTTTTCAGAAGGGGTAAGTAAAATTAGTTGATTTCTTGGAAATGCTGTTGATTTTTTAAATTATCGTTCATGTAAAATTGGCCTTTTTTTCATATACAGGCTGTGAATTTTAACATGTATATAAGTCATGTAAGTACGACTACAGTCATGATACAGAATAGTTCTACTCCACCACCCCCAATTCCCTCATTATCCCTTTATGATCATACTCATCCCCTCCCCCTAACCTGAACAACTACTGATCTTTTCTCCATCATTGCAGTTTTTTCTTTTTTAGAATGTCGCATAAATGGAAACATAAAGTATGTAACCTTTTGAGGCTGGCTTCTTGTACTCAGCATAATACCTTTGAGATTTATCCAAGTTATTGAGTGTACCAATCGTTTGTTCCTTTGTGTTTATATACCATTGTATGGATGTTTGTTTATTGACTTATTGGTTGAAGGACATTTGTGTTGTTTCCAGTTTTTGCTGATTATGAATAGAGCTGCTATAAACACTGGTGTACAGGTATTTATGTGAACTTCAGTTTTCATACCTCTAGGGGAAATATCCAGGAGAAATGCTGTGTTTTAGGTGAAAAATTCCACGTTGATATTTTTGCCTGGGAGATTTATTTAAATCATTTCTTTATTCATTTAGTCTTTTCTCAGACATTTAGAGCAGGACTTTGATATTCAAGGGTTTAATGTTCATGGTTTTGACAAGCTGCAAGGTCCATGATACAGCAATTCATAATTTTTCAGGTGGAATTTCAAATAGCTTGTGAGTGCCCATAGAACTGACCAACACGTGTGTTATAATGAGGCTTTGTGGTTTTCTTCTTTTTATTGGGTACCCAGTAATTTTCCTGAAGTGGATATATTTAGTAGTATTTGTACATTTATAGGTTCAGAAGTACTTATATAGCCATCTCAAATATTAATAGTTTGCTTTCTCTTGGTGATGTGCATTGAAAGTAGTTATGCCAAAATAAAAACAGAAAAGTGCACTGTGTGTTCTTTCTGAATTTTCCTATCTTTATTATTTCAATTTTATAGTCATGCTGTAATGCTTATTTCATATATTTTACTGATCAAGGAAATGTAATATCCTTCACTGATCATGCTTTAACATTTTAATTGTATAATGCTCAAATATAGGCTTTGCTTAGGCTCATCAATGAGAATCTGTCTAATGTGATTTAGAAAGCTTGGAATATATCATGTAAAAAGTTAATTTTTTAAGCAATGAATAATGCTCGAGTGTTGTTTTCACAGAATGTTCTAAACATAGGAGTGTAAAAATCCTAGTATCAGCTGTTATTTTTTATTCTATCATGTTTAATTTCTGTTTTTCTTCAAAAATAATCTGTTGATAATAGAATCATTAAACATAGATATAAATTATTCCAAGGTTTATTGTGTATGTTTGTCATCACCCACACTCCTTCATATTAAAAAATAGCTGAAATTTTGATTATGATTATCATCTCTTCTAGAATCAACAGATGCTGTAAAATAAATGGTGATGTCTTTTTTTAAAAACAGGCACAAGTATTGATCATAATGTTCTGAGTTGGTGCAATGAGGAGTGTAAGCCCATTATTTTTCCAATGTGGTATTGGCTTTTTCCAATGCTTTTATAAATATTAAATGTTAAAAAGTTGTTGAGAAAGTATAGTTCCTGGTGCAATTATCTCAAAATGGATTGTATTAATTTAAATTTTTAAAGCTTTGCAGATAATCGGTGATTTAATATTTGCAAAGGCATCATCTCTTTATCATTCACAGCCATGGTTCAGCCTTGAATCCTGGCACTGATGTCTAGTAAGAAGAAGCCAAGAGGAACATAAAGTTTCTACATTTGGAATTAATATTTTAATAAAAGTAATAATATTGCAGTCGCTATTACAATTACACATGTACACTAAATGACATTTCTATGATTGGAATATCTCTAAAATTATCAGTCTTTATCAGTATGGTTCAGATTCTCATTAGAAAGAATAAAATGGTGAAGAGTAGCAGTGTGTTTATACCACAGGCCTTTGAAATTAACTTAAAAGCATTCTTTCAAACTTGAAAGGTTTTGAGGCTTGAATTGGGATTACCAGGTGAAATACGTTGTTATCTGGAGATTATATTTTGAGGGTCTGGGGGAGAGTGTAGAGTGACTGTTAATGAGTACAGATTTCTTTTGGGGGTGATGAAAATGTTCTGGAATTAGTGGTGATTGCTGCACAACCTTGTCAGTATACTAAAAACCACTGAATTGTACACTTTGAAAGGGTGAAATTTATGTTATGTAAATTATATGAAGGTCTTCAAAAAGTTCATGGAAATAGTCATATTACCTTTCAATTACATCACTTTTTCAATTACCTTTTATTTTCCTAGATACCATTATACTGGTATCTTTTTAATTGAGGTCTTAGTGACATACAGTAAACTGCATGTATTGAAAATATACAGTTTAGTAAGTTTTGACATGGAACCATCCCCAATATCAAGATAGTGAATGTAACTATTACTTCCAAGTTTCCTCATGCCCCTTGGTAATCCTTCCTCAGGTGTATACTGATCTGCTTTCTGTCACAGTAGATTTGTTTTCACATTAAAGGGTTTCGTATGAATGGAATCATACAATTTACATCAAATTCATCAATGTTGTTGCATGTATCAATAGCTTATTCCTTTTTATTGCTGAATAGTGTTCCATGTATATATCATAGTTGGTTTATTCATTCATCTGGTGATGAACATTTGGGTTGTTCCTAGTTTTTTGATTTTAAAAATCAAACTACTATAAGCATTCATGTACAACTTTTTGTATGAACATATCCTTTTGTTTTTCTTGGATAAATACTTAGGAGTGGAATGTCTGGATCATATGGTAGATGTATGTTTAACCTTTTAAGAAATTGCCAAGGTGTTTTTCAAATTAGTTGTAATATTTATATTCCTACCAGTAATATATAAAAATTCTACTTTCCCTACCTTCTTATCAATGCTTGATATTGTCTGTCTTCTGAATTTTAGCCATTCTAATAGGTATGTAGTGGTACCTTGTTTTGAGTTTACAAAAAAAGCTAGTAGAACTAATAAAGGAGTTTAGTAAGATTTCAGGATAGTAGATTAATATATAAAAATTTAGTTGTATTTCTATACACTCTGCTAAAAATAAGCAATTGGCAATTGAAATTAAAAAATACCATTTAGGGCCGGCCCGTGGCTCACTTGGGAGAGTGCGGCGCTGGGAGTGCAGAGGCGCTCCCGCCGCAGGTTTAGATCCTATGTAGGGATGGCCGGTGCACTCACTGGCTGAGCGTGGTGTGGGTGACACCAAGCCAAGGGTTGTGATCCCCTTACCGGTCACATAAAAAAAAAGAGAGAGAGAGAGAGAAATACCATTTATAACAGCATAAAAAATGTGAAATACTTATAACAGCCTAAAAAATATGAAATACTTAGGGATAAATCTGACAAAAACTGTGCAAGAACTCTATACTGAAAACTAACAAGGCATTGTTGAGAACAATGAAAGAAGACAAATGAATATGTCTTGTCTATGAGTAGGAAGATGTAATGTTTATTAAGATGTCCATTCTCCCCAAATTGATCTATAGATTCAACACAATTGCAATCTAAATTCCAGCAGGTATTGAGAAATTGACAAGCTGATTTTAAAATTTATATGGAAATGCAAGGGGTCTAGAAGAGCCAGACTAACTTAAGAGAAAACACAGAGAACTAACCCTACCTGATTTGAAGACTTATTACAAAAACTTACTACAAATAGTTATCACAGTAATCAACAAATAAGATAGACATAGGTCAATGGAATAGATTTAGAGAGCCCAGAAATAGGCCCACAAATACATGAAAAACTGATTTTTGACATATTTAGTGGACAAAGGATAGTTTTTTCAACAGATGATGTAGGAGCAATTGGATATCAATATGCAAAACAGAATTTGTATCCACAGCTCACTTCTTATAAAAACATTAACTCAAAGTGGATCCTAAAGGGTTTGGATTCTTATACTGGCTAGCCACAAAAAAAAAAAAAAAAAAAAAAAAAAAAACCCGAAAAAAAGGATATTAATCCTAAATGTAAATCCTAAAACTATAGAACTTATGGAAGGAGACATAGGAAAACATTTTTGTGTCTTTGAGTTAGATGATGATTTATTATATGTTACCCAAAGCACAATTCACAGAAGAAAAAAATTGATAAAATTAATAAATTATCAAAATTTAAGACTTATTCTTTGAATGACGTTAAGAGAATGAAAAGACAAACCACAGACAGGGAGAAAATATTTGTAAAGCATATATTTGATAGAGGACTTGTATTTAGAATATATTAAACTCTCAAAACTCAGCAAGATCACAAATATTCCAATTAAAAAATAGGCAAAAGATTTTAACATACACTTCATCAAAGAAGATGTGTGGATGGCAAATATGCATATGAAATGATGTTCAACATCATTAGACATTAATAAAATGAAAATCATACTAGTATTTTACTGACAGAGAATAAGCAGAATTATTTTAGTACAGAGTTATTCATTGTATATTTTTCATGCAGGTTATTAATATGTAATAATTATAAAATAAAACTACATAGTGTAGATTATAATTGTTTCACATTGATTTATGACTTCTTCAAGAAGAGACCTGAAATGAGAAAAAAATTTAAATGAGCCTTACTACAAAGTGATAACATTTTTTTTTAGCATTAGTAAGACAATGTACTTAAAAAAATATTTTTTTATTTGACCAACTAAATTTTTCAATTATTATCCCACCTAAGCAGGATCTCTGCATAATTTTTAAGTTTAATATTTTTCATAATTTTTTGAACAGCTGGACGAATTGTCATTGTGAACCAGAGGAGGGCAGCTCTTTTTACATTAGTGTCTGAAAACACTTAACATGATTAGAAGCATTCGAAAAGTTTTTATAACACAATATGTGTGGATCAGGTCAAGTAACAGATTTGCTTATTCCAAGGAACCATGTCAAATTGAAGCTGCAGTGGTGAAACCAGAAAGTCCTATATTTCCACAATCAACATTAGTACTTTCTAGTTTTTCATATATTCCGCCTGTAATAGAGATACCTTCATCCAGCCATAATAGAGACATTAGTGAAGAATCAAGTGTACTCTTTGCTTCAGTGTTATTAAATGTTAAAATTCTGCTAGGTACTATTTAATTCAAATATTCAAATGCAGAGGGAACATGGAAGGTGTACATATGTACTATTTAAAATTTAGCCAGATGGTTCTTTTCCTGTATACTAGTTTCTTTGGATTTGCTGAGAAACTCATTTTGAAACTAGTTCCTCTCTACCTGTGATTTCATTTCAGTTATTTCCATTTTGTTTCTCCTTATTTATATGAGAAATGACTTGCTTTTAAAAGGATTTTTAAAAAGTCTTTTAATTGTCTTATGATTAATCAGATGTTTCTGAGATTCATGGCTGCCAAGAGATAGTATTTATTTTGGTAAATTTTTATAATTCAGTGTATGTTTCTTGCTTTTTCTAGCTTAGAAACTTGATTTTGCTGACACAGAATTATTTAATAATTGTTTGAGTGTTTATTGCCTAATTTGTTCTAAAGAAGGCAACAATTTTACAGACAATAATACATAATAAGAACTAATAGTAAGTCAAAAAGAGGATGAAAAAAAGAGACTATCAGCAAGAGCATGAAAGAGAGAGGAATCTACAGGAGCCCAGCTTTTATGTTAAAGTTCTCACTTGAGGCAGTGAGCATTCATCATTTTCTCCTCCCTCTTCCATTGATGGGCATTCTTTTCACTCTGCCTTTTTAAAAAAATTTTTATTTAAAAAAATTTTTTAAAAGTGTATTGGGAGCCAAATGTGAGGATCGACTCAGGAAACACCACCTGACAGAGTCAGTCAGAGAAGTGCTCTTCACTCTGATTTTGAGGATAAATGGAATATGGGATTCATAGGAGGGTAAAGATGATTGTATCTCTTACAAACCGTGGTGACAACTCATTCTTCTGAAATTTTCCCAATTCTGTAAATCTACATTGATGCTTTATGTTTTTCTTCATATTAGACAAGTTCCCAAGAGACTGGTTTATAGTCCAGAACACTGATTCATTAATTTGCAATGAGATATATGTTATCCACATGGAAACAGATTTATAATCAGAAACTTGTTTGGTAAAGTTTGAGTAAGATCAGAGGATGCTGGTGTGTGATTCAGATGTTTGGCACAAACTGTGATTAGCCCGATGCTTACGTGTTAATATTAATAATATACCTACTTTACCTGGAGTACTAAATAAAAGTCTTGGGTTATAGAGAGCTCTTATATGGCCACTGCTAATCTCTTGATTCTTAAATTTTTATTTCTTATGCTT